AGGCAAGAAGAAAAGAAAAAAAAAACACCGCTAGCCGCAGTTAGTATGCAATTTTTTGTTGTTTTTCAAGTTTACCTCAATAGCTAAATTCTACTGTGCGGTGTATTAATTTATTTCTGTTTATGACAACGTGCAATTTGTCGAACAACAAACACTGCATTTAATTGCCACAAAGTGACGAGCAAAAGAAAGCTACGAATATAATTCGAAATGTGAAGTGCGAGGAGTGATTCGTCACGTAGATCGGGATCCTAACCCATCCGTCGGAATAACTATAAACTATACAGATGTGTTCAAAAAAATAGTAGTGAAAATGAACTCCCAATTGGAATTGTCTTCAAATGAACTTCTTAAAATTCCTTCTTCCAGTTGAAAATTTACAATTTTTAGACTTTATTATAAGAAAAACTGAAAATGAACTTCCAATTAGAATAGTTGTTACATTTCCTGAAATAAACTAAGAAAATAAACTACCAATTAGAAAAGTTGTAGAATTTCTTCTAAGAAAAAATTAAAATGAACTTCCAATTGGGAGTTGTAAAATTCCTTATAAGAAAATATGAAAATGAACTTTTAATTAGAGGAGTTGTAAAATGAACTCCCTCAAAAAAAAGTACAATTGGGAAGTGTTCTTTCGTACAGTGGATTAAAAATTAACTATTGTTTTATACGAACGTTTCTTAAGAACTTAAGAGTATACCCACTTCTATTATTTTGAACACAGGTGTATTCACTTGCCTCATTCAAAACAGTAGTTACCAATGCAGTTGCTATATTGTTATCTGTGTGAAATTAACGGAAAACTTGCCATTAGCCAAGCGTCGAACAATTTGTTTTCAATTAGCCAAGGAAGTTGGGTTTCAGTCGGTGGCGGGGTGGAAAACCGCAAGAACCCGGGTTTAAAATGCGGAAAATAGTCGGCATATCGATTTTTACTAACTCACTTCTTCGCCAATCCGTCTGCCTCATTCATATTTAAAGCAATTCGAACCCGTTGCCTTCTATGGACTCGCAATCCATTACCAATTCTTTCTTTGGTATCTGCTTTTGGATATATTATGCCATCGATTCTTTATATTTTATCTTTATGGTTTTTTTTTTTCTTGATTGATTCTTTTGCCTTGCTTCATCATTTCTTCACTTTTAAGCCCAAGAAAGCAGAAAGAACGTGTCAAGAAATAATATTTATGTAGAATATTTCAAAGTCCAATTATGTTATGTTAGGTAATCAGAAAACATTTTCTGTAGATCTATCATACATTGAGTTGGGATCCCAAGATTCCTATTCTTTTGAGACCATATAAACGAGTACAGCCCACCGTCATATCTCTCAAATAATATGCATATTTATCGTTTAAATGGGCTTATATGGTTCCACGTCACTCCGAAAGACATTGGAAGGTGCAAAGTACCATTGGATCCCCCAATCGAATGTGGAACGTACACAGGTGACATCTTGTGAGCCATTAGAGCTATGGCAGGGGTACGTGATAACTGGCATTCATAGGGGCATATAGTATATATGGTACTATATATACCAGAGAACCCGAGGATCGGACATTTGCAGACTGAAGCGGCCTAATCAAGTGGCTCAAATTGCCGCACAAATTGAAATAGATAATGGCCCGCAAGTGACAGTGGCGACATAACGACAACGACTGCGACTTAGCATATTCGGGATTAGTCATGCGTATCATTCGCCTGATAACTCAGCAACACAGCAAACCAAACAGAAAAAAAAAACAGATAAGTTGTCGCAAAACAGGCTAAACAGTGACTCGAGAAAGTCATTCCACAGGTGTTTCTGCTGGCAATATCGACTTACCAGTCCGAACGAAAATTAGCAAAGCCGTCTAGTTGGATGGGTGATGATTATAGAGAAACAATGATGAGCACCAATAAAAAATTCCCTCACGTCGATGGTTATCCACCCGTATGATATCATCGCCTAACTTTGGAGCAAAAACCCAAGTCGATTCCGCTGAATGCAATGCCGAACTTCAATGTCAGTGTCATCCATTGAAAAAATCTCTATATTTAAGCCCATGATGGAGCGATCCCCCGACATTCCGGCATACATATCCCAATAATCACATCCGAAGCCACAGAGCTGGGCCATTAATCATCTTGTATCTTGTATTTGCACTTCTGATTCACCTTGCTTAAACATGGATCGCCGGTACTTGGGGGCCCCTCCGAAAATGATAATGCCTCCATTTATTTAGGCCCATGTGTAACGGTAGAAAGTTGCCAATTTTAAGTGTACACATAACGGTGATACTTCTCCAAATGGCTGAAGACATTAGCCGTGAAATTAGCATTCGATTATGGCAGTCGTAGTTTCGTAACCCCCTGATGTAGAACCAAAGGGGGCTTTTTAAGGGGTTCTATTCAGAACTTTACATTTTCGGAATTTTATATATTATAATAAAAATGTTCGGGATAAAAGCTTACTAATTGAGATTAGTAGTAATCTTAACCAAAAATCAATTTGTGGCCTTTCTAAGAAATTAAAATCTGCTTAGATTGGAGAACCTATATTTTATTTCGAGAACCCTTTCCTTGAGATTCCCATTTTCAAAGCCAAAGATATAGCTAGCTCGTGAGGCCTCAATGTTGCTGATCAATCAAGTTCACACAACGATAAGTGATCTCAGTTCGCCGAGTTTTAAAGACCTCGTTTCGGAACGATCGAATTGATAAACGCCGGAATGGAAATACTCGTACTTCACGTTATATGGTATATCACTCGTTGTTTGTCTGTTAACTTTAAACTGGGCTACTCGTGTGAGAAGTGGAAATCGATGGAGGGTTACTTAACCATCTCCAATCCAAAACACACGGGCCCAACGTGCCAAAGCAAACAGTTCAATTACGTCTGATTGTTCAGCTGCATTTAGCAGTTGGCAGTTGACTCTGATTCATCGCTATTTAAAACCTATATATAGGCCATATATTTAGATAATCGAGGGCTTGCATATATCTAGTCCGGCCATAAATTTAAGGCGCCCTTATAAAGATATTTCCAGTAATATATCCCAACCATATAATAATGGCGATAGGCAGAGTATAAAGTTCACATACCATTCCGAGAGCAATTTAATTTTTATTTCAATTAGCCTTTAGTTCACAAAGGCCCCCAAACACTTAACGCTATTAGCCAAGCTCATTATTTTTGGCAACACCACCACACCAACCACAGCCATGTTTATGGAACGTGATGATTTAAGGCAAAAATAAAAAAAAAAACGAAAATAAAAAACATTTTTCATCGCCGTCTCATGATAGCCGAGGAATTTCTACTTACTCATGTTTATTTTCAAGGGGAACTTTAGTGACTGACTATAAAAGAGCCTTTGGGCCAAAGCAGAAACAACGCAGTATTGATAACCCAAAACAGGTTAGAAGAGAGCTGGTTGGCCGACTGGGGAAATACCCATTGGTCGGAGATAGGGGATCAATGGAGGCATTACCCCTGTTTAAATGCACGATTAAACAACAATACGTAGGAAAATGAGACACAATTGCCCAAAAAGTATGAAAACCCCGAGGGGTATTGTTTCATTTTTTTCTGTTTTTTTTTTTGGCGAATCCACATGGGAATCGACGTGACGACTCCATGTTGAGTTTTATATCTAATTAGGCTGGCTAATAGTTGGGCTAATTAGTCGGGGCTGCTCATTAAAAAGTAAACACAAATCGATTGGCCACAGGCAATCACGAATATACACAGTACGGTTCATTAACATAAGTCCAAAGGTTTAGCGATATTATGCGAATATGCTGGATTAATGAAAATCGTTATTTTGAGATCCCTAAACTAGTAAACTAAACTATATACATACATTATATAAATAACAAGGCTCAAGTCAAGTGTATTTTATTCCGAGTTCAATTATCGTCATTTAGTGCAAATAAATCTGTTTTATTTGTCGTTCAAAAGGTTATTTACTGAATTGATTTCCCAATTAAGGGAAACTATTCACTTCCTGTGGGAATTACTTGCGATTAACCTTATAGACATGTAATGCGCTGTATGGTTAATGAAATGATGTATTTGTGTGTACTAATCGAAGCACAGGAAAAAATAATGAGTTTAAAAATATATAATGCATTGTTGAAAAAAAAATAATATCATGAGATTATTACGATTTTTAAGAGCTGAAAATATATAATATCTTAAAAATCTTATCATCTGAATATCTTGATGTTTTTGAATAAAAATGGAATATTTTTCTTTTTTTTCGGTGTATAAACTATAGAACAAGTTGGTGCTGCAACAATTGCCCGTAATTTGCATGGTCTTGCACTCACACCATTGCACCAGCTAACTATGTCATTAGAATTTACTACTGAGTAAGCAGCGCCACGCCCCCGCCCCCCTAACCGCCCCCTTTTCCTATCACACATACATATGTACAGACATATAAAGGTTGCCTTCGCGATTTGCATTGTGTGCAAATGTAACGCACGCGACAAAAAACGCCCGCAAGTCGCGCGCTTCTCATTGCCGCCGACGATTTCGATTTTCTTGGGCTTATCGCTTCGCCAGTTTTCCCAGTATGTGTGTATTTGTGTGTAGGTGTGAGCCATTAAACAACCTGGCCGACAATTAAGCACTAAGCCAGGCGAAAAAGGCAAATAGGAACGGGGAACGAAAAAATTGATAAAGCAAATACGCAGGTGAAATGTAAAACCATCGGGTCGACTTTGAAACATACTTTAGAAATCGAAATTGTTGGACTGCAAACATAACTATTTTTTTTATTTTTGGTAGAGAGGGTATTATGGATGTGTCCCCAACTGGAACAGAACAGAAGTATGTGTATTTCTTTTCGGTGGCATTGTTGATAAAGCGCCTAGAAAGAGCACCTCCACCATCCCCTCCATCATCATTATCCATTATCAGGAACAAAAAAAAAAAAAACGTTGATAAGACCGAGCGTCTTTTGTAATCGGACTGCTTTTAATTCGCTTTCTTGCCTTTTTTCCACTTTCAGATTTCGCAGCGCACAAATCGCACGCCATTTTCTAGCATGCTCTAGGAATATTACGAAACCCAATCGAAATTTAAAGGAAAACGCCGAATTACACACGTCAAGACACGTTTGAAACGGAAGCGGAAGCGGAAACGGAAGTAGGTGAAGGTGGAAGAAGCAGAGAACAAGTGAGCGAGAGAGAGGGAAACATTTGAGAAGCCACGCCCACAACATGAGTAGCATGAAGGGCGGCTTCTCCACACTGAATCGCTGGTTTGGCCGGAAAAAGGGTAAGTTATCAATAAAAATCCTACCCTACATGTTTAATAACTCCCCGATTATTAGTATCCTTTATCTGCATTACTGTTTACGATCCCCAAACTTTATGCCCACAATCATAAAGGCAATAAACCCTTGCTAAATTAACATTTAAAGTTCCCATAGAGATGGGGTGTAATAAATATAATAAATAACAATTATAAAAAAATTAATTAGAATTACATTCGTATTTATGATATCTTTGTTTCTGGATCTCCCAAGTAGAATATTATTTTATACACACAAAAAAAAGCATGTTCCCGTAAAATCGATATGCCATGTAAATTTAACCCCATTTCGTTTTTACATTATAAAAGGTCAAATTTACCTGGCCACATATCAAATTAAAATTGATCTTAAATAATGTAAAATCGAACTACGTTTCATATGGATTTTTTTTCGGGTGAAGTTATTTAGGTAAAACTAATTCCCTTCCTTCAAAAACTAAATCAAATCATTAATGAATTATTTGTATTCCCTAGACAAATCCGGCACTGGCAGCTCCTCCATGGGCAAGCTGTCCAAGTCGTCGACACAGCTGCACCATTTGTCCACGGACACGGACTTGAACGAGACTAGTCAGCTGGAGTACAACCGGATAACGCCAGTGCCCGCGGCCACCAGCAATGCGCCCTTCGAGCAGACATTCCGCATCACCGTTCTGCTGCCCAAGGAACAGCTCTTTGTGGCCCGCCTGGGAGCCAGGGTGCCGCTGAGCAAGCTCCTTTCGCTCGTCTGCGACAACAAGCAACTGGATGCGGACAAGTACGAGTTCCGGAGTCCAGGTAAGACGATCTACGACAGTCTACACTTTCAATTGGGATTTGAAAAAGAAGAAAAACGAGAGAGATGGTTGTCCGCTTAAGAGAGAGAGTTGTCCGCTCAAGAGAGCTTTACGCGAATTCCCAAAAAAGGAGTCTATTTCCATTGAAAGTAACCCTTCTATTAACCCATTGTCTACATCTCCATATTTTTCAAAACGAGACAGATAGTTGTCCGCTTAAGAGAGATAGTTGTCCGCTCAAGAGCTAAAGCTTAGTTTAATGTTACCAATTGTCAATTCCCAAAAAAGAAGCCTATTTTCATTGAAAGTAACACTTCTATTAACCCATTGTTCACATTCAAAACGAGAGAGATAGTTGTCCGCTTAAGAGAGAGAGTTGTCCGTTCAAGAGAGTTTTACGCGAGAAAGCTTAATTTAAAGTTACCAATTGTCAAAGTAACCCCTCTATTAACCCACTGTCTACATCTCCATCTCTTCCAGTGGACGCTAGTCAGGTGTACAGCTGCGAATCGACGATCGGAGCAGTGGGTCTCTCGGAGATTCGGCTGTGCCACAAGTCGGAGTCCTACGACACCTTCAATCCGGATGTGATGCACAAGTTCCAGCGCACCGGAGCGGCGCGGGATTCCCTAAGCAGCAGTTCCGATTTCAGCAGCAGTCGTCACTCGAAGGTTACGGCCAAAACGCCAAGTCCGTATAGTTCCAGCAACTCGCTGAACTCGATGGACTCCACGGGCATGAACTATACGCGTACGCCGGTGGTGGTGCCGCCGGCAAAGGTTTTGGCACCACCGCCGCGCAAAAAGCGAACGGCACCGAGGCCGCCGAGTCAGATTTGCATCCCGGAACAGTCGGTTCCGGACATTCCGGCTAGCGAGCCCGCCTATGCGGTGATTGTCAAGCGTCCGCAGCTCTGCATGTCCACGCCGAATCTCTCTGGACCACCGGAGTTGGATTGTAATGGCAACAGTAGCGCCAAGTCACCGGATGCCGACTCCACGGACGGTCACTATGCCACCTTGGAGCTAAAGCCTCCGGTGGCAGGTGGTCCCGAACCGACTCCCCGCAAGCGATTGCTGCAGATCAAGAAGAAAACGGCACCGGCACCACCGCCGGACTTCCAAAGTGGCGGGGATAACATATCACTGGCCTCGCTGCCACTTCCTGAAGCGGTGACTACTCCGAATATTCCGCAGCCAGCTCCCAGGATCACCACACCATTGCCCATTGCGCCGGCGGTTAATCCGCCATTGCCTTTTGTGAATGGCAATGGATCACCACCTCCAACCAATGGCAATGTATCCAAAGTCCTTCTAAATAGAACTCCCACGCCGGAGCCCCGATCTTTGGGCAGTGCCGCCGAGGATGATGACAATGATGCGGCTTCCAAGCAAGCGGATTCGGGCATTGGAGAGCCGGCACCATCGCCCTCGGCTTCACCGGAACCCGAGGCGGAGGAGAAATCCCAGCAGGAATCCAGTTCCGAGGACGACGAGGCCATCAAGGTGTACAATTTCAAGCTGTGCCAGACCACCAAGCAAAATGAGCCCACCAGTTTGGCGGAACTGGCAGTGCTGACGGCGCAAGAGGAGGAGGAGCAGGAGGAGCAAGTGCAGCCACCGCTGACCAATGGAACCCCCTTGAGCGAGACCTCAATCACCTCGTGGAACTACTCGGTGCCCATATCGCCGCCTCCCGACTTTTCCGATCCGAAAATGCAGAAGCTTAAGGGTTCTGCGAGTCCCGGTTCGCCGCTGGACGAGATTGTGGATGAACTGGCGACCATAATCAATCAACAACGTCTGGACACGCTGATCAAGAAGCAGCCCGATCCACGGCTGGCGGAGATTGAGGCGCCGAAACCGAATCGATTGGCCAATTTCAGCATAGCCACGGCCACGGCCAAAATTGGACGAGCCGACTCGTTTCAGGCGGTGGGAGGAGGAGGATTAGGAGGAGGAGGATCAGAGGAGGTAACATCCCTCAGTCTTCGCAGCTCCTCGCATCTCTCCCTGAACAAACTGGAGCAGCAGCAGAATGGCATCAGTGGCCTGGGCACGAGGCGCTCCTCCAGCGAGCTGAGCATCGGTGAATCGCCCTCGTTGCAAAGTCTCGAGGTGATCAAGACCATCTTGAACTCGCGGAAGAACAGCTTGGCTGAGAGTGGAGGCAGTGCATCATCATCATTATCATCGCCTGTTACAGAGCAACCAAAGATCATCGAGAAGGTGGAAGGGCTGGAGAAGCTGGCCAAAGAAGAGTCTTCTGTGGAGGAGGAAGTGGTTACCAAGCAGTCGTCAGCCACTCCTGTCCAGAAACAGTCGACTCCGACTACTCCTTCTCCTCCTGCTGTTGAGAAATTATTATCTTACCCTGTTGAGAAACCATCAGCTTCTCCTGTTGAGAAATCATTACCTTCTCCTGTCCAGAAACAATCGATTCCTTCTCCTTCTCCTGCTGTTGAGAAATCATCACCTTATCCTCTGCAAAAACAGTCGACTCCTCCTGCTGTTGTGAAACCATCACCCAATCCTGTCCAGAAACAATCGACTCCTCCTCCTTCTCCTGCTGTTGAGAAAGTATTACCTTCTCCCGTTGAGAAATCATCACCTTCTCCTGTTGAGAAACCCTCACCCACTCCAATACAAAAGCAGCTTTCTTCGCCAGTTGAGAAGCCTTTATCCTCGCCTGTGGTGACTCAGCAGGTGACTCCATTGGCTCAGAAGCAATCCCCGCCAGTGGCCAAAAAGCCATCGCCCCCGGTGGTCAAGAAGATGCCAGAGGTTTCACCAGTTCAAGTGGTCAAAGAGGAAGTTCCCAGCTCGCCAGTCAGTCCGGTTAACCTGAGGAGTACCCAACCAAGTCAACCCATTGAATCCGCTCCCAGCTCCAAGCCCCTGCCACCCACTTATCGCTATTCGGGGCCACCGAGCATTAATTTCGCCACCTGGAGCGAACGACCCAAGTCGACGGTGGCCATCAAGAACGAGGGAGACTATATCTTTGGTGGGGCTGGGCAGGCCAATCAAAGGATCACCTCGCAGCCGCCTGCCAAGCTCACCATCGAGGTGGCTTCACCCATTCTGAGGATGGGCATTCCGCAGCGAAAGGAGTACCACGTTCCCATTACGGTTAAGCCGCTAAAGGATGCGGGTTTGGAGGAGAAGCAAGAGGAAAAGCTGGAGAAACCCGAGGTCAAAGAGCAGCCAATTCAAGAGGAAACCTTTTCCGTTCAGGTTAGACTCAAGCCGCAGCCGAAACCCTTGGAGAAACCCTTGGTTCAGAACCAAAATCAATCTTCCACCCTGCCGCGTCCAGCCAAGACCAATAGATTCACCCTGCCCGCTGGCCAAAGCAACCAGGTGGTGGTCTCTAGCCTGGCCAGCTCCAATTCCCTGCCTCGTCCGGTCTCCAGTCTGGAGAGGAATCGACCAGGAGCAGTGGAACCAGCTAATCCCGCTCCCTTTGGCCAGAACACCCTGCGGCGCACGGGTTTCAAGGAGCGCATGTTGGCCAGGGAGCAGCAGGAACAAGAGCAGGCCTTGAGGATTAGGGTCTCTGGGGTGTCGGTGAATGGAAATCACACTCCTTCTCCAGCAGCTGCAGCTGCTCCTGCTCCTGCCACGCCCACATCCCCGCCAGAAACCAAGCCAGCGCCGCCGGCAAAGAATGCGAATGTGGTGCTCAAGTCCACCAAAGTGGAGCTGAAGCTCCAGGAGCCACCGGAAACTAGGGGGCTACAGATCAAGCTAAAGTCCTCGGTATCCCAGCCAGCGGCCACGCCCTCGCCGCCGCCACCGCCTCCCGTACTTCCGGCTCTGAAGCCCCTGAAGGCCCGGGAAAACGGAAGCGGAAACGGAAGTGGACGCAGTCCCACATCACCGGATCCGCGCTCCCAACTCCTGGATGCGATACGGAATTTCAAACGCGAGGAGCTCAACCGATCCTGAGTTTTTGCGAAAATAAACATTATTAGATAAAGAAATAACAAGAAAAATCAGGCACAAAATCACAAAAGCAGCGCACAAGTTATATATTTTTTAAACCGTTAACAGTAAATTTTGTGTTGAGTTTGTAAATAATTTCGAAAAAGAAACGCCAAGATTTAGTAGAACTTTTTTTTGCACAAACCCATCCCCCTCCCTAAAAAACCCAGCGCTTCTAAAGCGCCTAATACCCCAATTTTTTTAACTAATCTTAGTTTTTTGTTATGAACTATGTAGTTTTTTAATTATTTGTTTTAGTCATTAGGTCACAAGAGAACCCAAAAAAGAAAAAAACTGAAAAATACAAGATAAAGAAAAACGAAAAGCGAAAGATTTATCTAATATACACGTATGTTATTATGCCTATATAATATTTCGTATGTCATAGTGAAATATAGTAACCAATTTTCTAACCAATGGGACTGGTCTACTTAGTCGTGTCAAATAAACAAAAATCAAATGGTAGCGAAAACAAACAAGCCCAAAACCGAGAGTTAATAATGCTAATAAATTATTTTAAAAGCAACAGCAGTTAAGGCATTTACCGCTGATGTATATACCATATATGGCATTGTATTAAACTGAATAAAATAAAATACAGAAATTTAAATATGTCTTTTAATACTAAGAATGGTAATGGTAGGTGTGGAATATATTTTATGCTTGCAAATTTTAAATAAGTCAATCCAAACCTGATTTTCGGTATGAAAATATATATATTACCGTTATTTCGACTTATCTTTTTACGACTGTAAAGATTTATTTATTGCGGTCAATTAAGGAGGCCAAAAGCTACCTTGGGCATTGAATAAAACCTTTTCCTTTAATTAACTAATAAATAATGAAATGCAAACTTACATATCTCTTAACAGTGACGTTTGAATTTCCCGCTCCCTAACAGCAGCGTGTGCTGTTAAGCCGTAACACCGATAGTTGTGCTGTCGCTGTTGCACCATATGATTTCTGCGATCTGGCAACACTGTTGGCCGACTAGAAAATTGTATAATTTATTTTGTTGTGTTTCTCGTTGATTTTCATGAATTAAATATACTAAGAAAAGGCGAATACCTGCGAACAATGGCGCTGCGCATCGCGAAGACCTTCCGCCCGCTGGCCCAGCCACTGGCAACAACCTTGGGCGGCCCACAGTTGATTCACACGACGCCGGCGTGCTGCGAGATCCGCAAATTGGCCCGACTGCGGGTGGTGGACAACAGCGATCTGGGCAAGAAGGCGATGGCCGAGGGCCGCCCGCCCCGCTGCATCCATGTGTACAACAAGCGGGGCGTGGGCCTCATCGGCGACAAGGTCCTGGTGGCCATCAAGGGCCAGATGAAGAAGGGCATCCTCGTGGGCCTCAAGCAGAACCAGAAGCCCAAGCAGCCCAAGTTCGATAGCAACAACCTGGTGCTCATCGACGACAACGGCAGTCCGCTGGGCACCCGGATCCACGTGCCCATTCCGACCATTCTGCGCACCATCCTCAAGGAGAAGACGCTGGCCAAGGGAGCCGACTACACCAAGGTCCTGGCCATCGCCAGTAGATATGTTTAAGTCTGTGTGATCCTTCGCCTTCCTTACTGTTGCTAAATGAATAAAATCTATCAAAAACCGAATGTCAGTATGATTTGTTCTTTCTTCAATCATAAAATATAATTGAAAACCTAAGCCAAAACATTTATTTTGAGACCTATATCTTCCTATTCAATATTATAATTCATTATCTGGCCATCTATATGTTCTATATGATTACTTCCTGTTGCTAAATGAATCAGTATAACTTCTTCCGTTCTTAAATCATAAAACATATAAAATATAATTGAAAACCTATTGAAAAATAAAAACTTTACATCACCTATAACAAAATATCTGCCTGTTTCGAAATTAAAAAGTTTCTTTTCTTCCTGTTTAATATCATAATTCATATCCTGTAAATCTCCTAAATATATGTTTAAGTTCCGTGGGATCTATATGATTACTTCCTCTTGTTAACTGAATAAAATTGATCCAACCGAATATCAGCATAACTTCTTCCTTTCTTACATTATAAAATATAAACTAAAACTTTAACAAAATAGAAAGTTTACTTGAAATATAACAAAATACCTGCCTATTTCTAAGCTAAGATTTATTTCAAGATAAAATGATTCCTTTAAGACCTCCACATTCTTCTCTTCTTATTTAATTTCATAAAATAAACTATTTTCTAAAAGAATACCTAAAATAAAATCAATTTAAAAACAGATAAACATAGAATAAACTTAAAAAATAACTAAATAAATGTACAAATACACCTTAAATTATACCTGAATTTATTTCGTAGTTTACTTAGAAAGAAAATCTAGGACTTTATTACCTTCTTTTCTTCATCTCCTTAACTTTCTCCTCCTTTTCTTCTTCTCTTCCAACTCCAGACACAAAACACCTTCGTTCTTTTTGTAGTATAAGTATAATGTGTATAATGTAATTGCGATCAGCTAGTTTAGTTTAGTTTAGTTTTTAGTTTTTTAGTTTCAGTAGTCTTGCCTAACGTATATAAGTTATGATGCAGTTATGTACACATGGGCGTTGCAGTTTAGTTTACAGTTTCTTTAGTCGTTTTGTGGTAACAGAAATGCACTTAGTCAGTTCCAAGGAAAGCAGCTAAATTCGCTCGTGAGTCGTCCATCTCTTTCACTTTGGCGGGCTTTCCCCTTTGCGAATCGCTTATGTACAGAGGGACAAAAAATATATATAATATAGAAACAGGATATAAGTACAGGTACAGGTCGCCGTTTAGATATTCCCAGCACTGCCGAAGAACTGAAAGTTGTTGAAGTTCACCGGCGTCTTTGGGCTGGGCAGGTACAGAAACTCGTCGTTCTGCAGCTGCGACTGCGTGAGGTTCGGTTCGCTGGCACTGCGATGGATCTTGGGCAAAGTGCGCAGCATGTTCTCCAGCATATTTAGCAGCGGCCTGAAGAGCGGCCGGTCCTTGGGCGTATACTTGATGCAGTCCTCGGCGAGGCGCTTCAAAGCCTGCGGCGCATCCGAGCGCACTTGACTCATATCGGGGCGCAGCAATCCACGTCCCACCATAAACAGGATCTGATCCTTGTTGCTAATATGGCCATACGGCAGGCACTCGGCCAGCAGTTCGTACATCACGATGCCAAAGGCATAAACGTCCGACTGGAAGGAGTAGGGATTCAGCTCCTGCATGCGAATCACCTCCGGAGCCATCCACAAAATACTGCCAGTGGGCTGATTGGCCTGCTTTTCGCCAGACCAACGCGTCTTCGCCGTGGCAAGGCCGAAATCGCCAATTTTCACGGACAAGTCCTCGTGCAAGAATATATTGTTCGACTTGAGGTCTCTGTGTAGGTCAAAAAGTAAAAGTTATTATATAGAAACAATAAATAATAGTAATTTTAATCCGAACCTGTGTATAATATTCTTGGCATGCAGGTAATCCATGCCCTGGGCCACCTGGCGACCAATATCGATCAGCGTGTTCAGCTTGAACTTGGTCTCGCTGACATGGACATGCTTGTAGAGGCTGCTGCCCTCGCACCACTGAGTTACAATGGCCAACGAGGGCTTGGAGACGCAGCCCATGAAGAGCAGAATGTTGCAGTGGCGCGTCTTCTTCAGCATGGCCACCTCGTTCTTGAACGCCTGCAGCTGGGCGGGACTGGGCGTCTTTACGTTGAGCGTCTTCACGGCCACGGGTCCGTGCCAGTGGGCGCGGTAAACGGTGCCAAAGGAGCCCGAACCGATGCGCGGCCCAATCAAAATCTCCTCCGCCAGGATGTTCTGTAAATATTAAAGGTTAGTGATCTGGTTTATACAAGTTGTAGTGGATATTCATTAGAGGCCTGCGTGAAGCATTCAATTTTTGTTTTCTGATTTGGTTATTTCCATTCTATGTGAAATTGAATGGTTTTTTTAATTCATTTCGAATTGAATGAATGAATGAATAATTTTATGAAGTTTTTTAATTTTTGTTTTATCATAGTATGCCAGGAAATTTCTGATTTGTTTAATTCAATTCTATGTGAAATAAATTTAATGTTTTTCTAATTCATTTCGAATTGAATGAATAATTTTGATGAATTTTTTGAATTTGACAGATTTTTTTGTGCTTTCTTTTGAGAACAAAAAGTGGAAAGTGTTTGATGTTAACTGCAAAGTAAATAAAATTCAGGCAGATTTAACCACAATTATTTCGGAATTCATGCCATTCATTCATTCAATTCTATTGAACTTCTATTTAGTAAATTCAAATTAATTCATTCATATGAAACAAAAAATTCAAAATGTTAACTGCATAGTAAATAAAAATGAGGCAGATTTAATAATTATTTCGGAATCCATCCATTCATTCATTCAATTCTATTAAACTCAAAATTCTAATTAATTCATTCATATAAAACAAAAAATTCAAAATGTTAACTGCGTGGTAAATAAAATTCAGGCAGATTTAACCACAATTATTTCGGAATTCATGCCATTCATTCATTCAATTCTATTAAACTAAAAATTCAAATTAATTCATTAATTCATTCAGGACCCTAATATCCATCCTACCCAGTTCTCCTCGGAGCTCTTGGCGTCCCTGGAGAGCAGATTCTTGTTGCTCTCGTCCGCCGATCGGGCCCTGGGTCGATTGTGCTTCAGCGTGCTGGTGGGCGAGGCTTGCGTGGAGTTCGAGTGATCCGTGCAGGGATACTGCAAGAAAGGCTCATGAGTTACAAAGATCTTAAGGGTAAAATTCAAGAAAAACCCACCGGCAACGGCGGCCTGGCCTGCATGATCAGGCTGCGCTGCACCTCGCTGGTCACCGAGCGAATGTTGTTGATGCACACATTCGGTGCCGAATTGGAGCGATCGTCCTGGCTGATTCGCGGCGGACGACCCTGCCGATGGTTGCCCGAGGAGGCGGAGGGCGGCTTGGAGCTGCTGCTGCTGCCGCTGCTGCTGCACCGCCGACTGCGACTGCGGCTGCTCATGTTGAAGCGCACGGCAGTGCCGCGGGTGCCCGGAAAACCGACGCCCGTCTCCGGATTCTCGGCCAGCAGCAGCTGGTAGTAGCTGTCCATGGGAAAGGGCTGGCACAGCATGGGCACCCGATTGGCGCACCTCTGATGGAACCTGAAGTTGCACTGGCTGCAATAGAACCCGGTGAACAGCAGCCGCCGACAGCCCTCGCAAAAGACCAGCGAGAAGAAGGTCTTCCTAATGATCTGATGCTTGATGTGCGTCCGTATGGGAAACTTGTCCAGCAGCCGCACAAAGATCTCCTCCACGTGCAGGGTGCCGATGTCCGTGTGCCACGGTATGATATGTCTGCCCGCATGCGTGGTGCTCACCTCGCACATATCGGGTGTTAGTTGGCGCAACTTCAGCGCCTTCATTAGGGCATCGCAGAGGCGGACGCCGGAGATGACCTCCACGGAGGTGCGCTGCTGGTTGGGCAAATGGGCGCGCAGCAGGATCTTGGGCTGGCGGGTGAGAGTTCCACACTGGCTGCCCGGCTGGGAGCTAACTAGGCTATCCGTAAGATCGCTGCCATGGACATGGACGCGGGCCAGCTGGCGCTGCTGCTGGAGAATCTGGGTTTGATTCTGGTAGTGCGGCTGCTCCTGCTCCTGCTGCTGCTGCTGCTGCTGCTGCTCCTGCCTCTGATCCTGGGCATTCAGGCGCTCTATCAGCTCCTGCTCCTTGGCCTCCAGTTCGTGCAGCTTCGAGGTCAGCTCCTGGTATTCTGGAGGGGATTAGAGGTTAAATTATGTGTGTTTAAGGTTTAGAGAGATCTTGATGATGAGTTTACCCATTAAGTACATGGCCGGTGGCTCCTGCAGATTGGCGAACTTGGCATTCAGCGCATCGATGTTCTCCCGGGTCACATGCTTCACCAACTGGACATTGTGGAGCTCCTCGGCCAAAGGATCGTACAGATCGCTGTCGCCTTCGGTGGAGGATTCGCTGGACATGATTTTTTATGCTTTATATGGGTATTTTGCTATATCCCGTGACCATGACCCCGAAAACGGAGGAAAAAAAACTCCTGCGCTTGCGTTTCAGTAGAGTTCTAATGGGTGGCCCACCCACAACCCAAACTTTTGTGGGCGGGGGGCAGCATGTTGTCCTTGACTTTTTCTTACGCTTTGTTTTTACCACTTTTCCGGCTTTAAATAGCGTTTTTTTGTTGGCTAGGAAAATCCCAGCTTTTTTCCAGTGCACCCACACACTCACTCACACACCTGCACAACCACCTTGCATATATGTACGGGTATGTATGTATAATGAAGGTCAGTGTGTGCAAAGGCAAAGGCAAAAGCAAAAGCAAAAGCAGCTGAACTTGGGGCTTCCAAAGGATTCGGATTCGGGGCCTTGAATTAACCGATAGCCGTCAATTATCCACTCCAGCCGGCTCCTCCGAGGGCTGCCCAATGGTGGCGCACTGGCAACTGGCCCACTGTCCTTTTGTTTCACTTCACTTGCTACAATTTATTTACCTCCTTGCGGTAAGTTTTACTACATTTTCGACTCTTTTCCCCTTTTTTTTTTACTTAGTGAAGTTCAAGCAAAAACATCGATGACTCCGAGTGCCAACAGACCATCACTAGCGCGTAGGAAATTAGGGTGGCAACGCTTTTTTGGTGCTATCGGCTAATCGATGGAGCTACCTGTTGTTGCCAAGGAATTTCTTTTTCTATTACCTTTTATACGTCCCAGGTGTCTAGATCCAGATAAATAAACGGTTATTTCGAAGTTAAGCGACCAATGGAACAAGCATCGATGCTTACTCGATACTTATTCTAACCTAGGGGCCACTCCGTACAGGAGCAGCTTTCAACAGACCGACACCAGGTGGCGCTCGACGGCGCGAAATTTAAATTCAGGATTACTTTGAAAAAACCGCAAACAAAAATAAAAGCTCTTTTGTGATATGATTTAAATCCTGATTTTTCACACCAAAAACAAACAGAATTTTCGCCAAAAACAATCAGAGTTTTGGCCAGAACAAACGAAAAAAATGGTCCAAATATGGAATGTCATACATCATTGAACTCGTAATAAAATTTCCAATCGATTGACATTTCAACCTAGAATTTTTTAATTTTTGCCATTTTTCGCAAAAAATTATGATGGTACCCCTTAAAAAAAAAGCGAAAATTTGGTTAAAAAATAATTTTCCCAAATCAGTCGCAAAGTGCACTGATATTAATTATAAGGTTGTAAGCTGCACAAAACAGTGCGCCTTTTTGATATGGGACCATTTTTGTCCAAGTTACAGCAAAAAAAACGACAATAAAAAATTAAATTTTTACCAAAAATCATTATCCTGATTTTTCACCCAAAAAAATTAGTATTTTGGTCATAAAATAATGAGCAACACCGATCCAGAACAGAACACTTTGATTTTTAGCCCGAACCTTAATGAAAAATAAATTCTCACACTAAATCCAAAATCTATAAAATGTACAAGTGTTTTAGTAAAAACTGGATATTAAGAATATTTAAATAATATATCAAATAAGTAGTTAATTAAGTATGTAGTTTATTATAATTAAAACTTTCAAATAATATCCATAAAAAAGACTAATAAAATCTGTTGGGAACTAGGTAAGTTAAGATAATGATGTCAATAGACATTTTCCATATAGAAGCTAATCAAGATTTTACTAAAACCTGGATATTAAGGATATTCAATTAATATATCAAAGAAGCAGTTAGTTATATAGTTTATTATAATTAAATCGTTTAAATAATATTTAAAAAAGAAAAAACAATTTGTAAATAATTAAGTAGATATATATAATAGATATTTATTAAAAACCAATCAAGATTTCGGTGGGTTGTAAAAGTCGGCCTGATCTGATTTCCCATAACGATTGTGGAAATTGCGGCCACGTGGGAAATCGAAATGAAAATCGAGCAGATTGCAAGATTGAAAGATTGGAACCGGGTCGCCGCCGATAACCTTGTGCTCCTTCCCTATCCCCGTGAAACGGCAAGATGCTCGATGGAATGCTAAAAAATCTCCCTGCACCGGGGCTCTAATCGAAAGCAAATCAGCTTTAATTGTTATTGCGACTATTTGTAAAATTGTTTACAATCTGAATTCGCATAATTATATAAAATATGCATGGCAAACAGTGCGTTTCGAAATGACAAGATCGTGGGAGTAGATAGCGGCCAAGAATTGTTTTTTATTTTTACTTATTAACTAACCAGAATTGATGTCAATATATACTCGCTGAGATTGTTTTTAATCATATATGTATGTAGTAAATACGCTTCGCTTTTTGGTCAATGATTAATTGATGAAAATGATTGAAATGCGGTTAATGATTTATTTTGAAATCGCTCTCCTAATCATAATACTTGCGTGTAAATAGTAAATAATATATGTATGTATATATAAAGTGAGTCTGGCATATAGTGAACTCGATTCTGTTTACAACTTGGGACCACGCGCCGTTTAAGTGATTCGCTGGCTTCTGTTTCATGGGAAATGGAAATGAAAATGGAAAAGCTCGGGGTGAAAGTTCATCGGGACACACACAATTTTTGTGGGTGCAACGTCCCCCGATTTATCGGGTCTTTCGGCTCTTTTGGGGTCTTTCAGGGGGGGTGGTGATAGGGGGTTTCAAGGTCACCAGCCGGCCAGACGGATGGCAGACATTTCCCCCAACTCCCCATTTCCGATTTCCCATTTCCCATTCCCGATTCGAATCGACTCCTCGACTCCCGCAGATTACAAACACGAAGACGAAGAGGTTACGGAGTCGGAGAGTCCGGTGGAACAGATTAGAGATGGGTTTTGTGGGTCAGTGGTTCCTATTTCATTGACGGATGAACTAAAATCAAATCAACCTTGAAATGCCGAGTAAACAAACAGTTTCTGCTTATAGTAATTCAATTGAATTTAATTCATTGGGCTTGTCAATTCTTTGAATTAATTTATAAATACTATCTTCAGTTCCAATAAAATACAAAGTTATTTTGAAATTGGTTAATCAGTTAGGGTACATTTTTAAATTTAAATTGAACAACTAACTTAATAGGGTAATTTCCACAGATTTAAATTTATAAATTTAGAAATTGGTTTTATGGACCAAATTAAAGAACTTAGTTTGATTGTCCAATTTTTGATGTTCGCCGAGTTCAAGGTCTTTTTGGTTTGCTGTCCTGGGTTCAATTCCAGTTCAGCACTCTTTGGGTGTTTTGTGTGCCAGACGTTGACCTTGAGGCATTTTAACGGATTGCAGTTCATTGGCAGCTGGAAAACACCACCCACCGCCCAAAAGTACAAAAAAAGAAATACCCAAAAAATGTGTGTCTATGCCCGCTGGTGGATGCTTCTCTCGATTGTTGCTCCTTGCTCTTCATTTCAACCACCCAACCACCTACTTCACCACCCACACTCCCACCCACAAACACCTCCCATTGCGGTTGTTGCTTTTTTCTTCTTTTTTTTTTTGGGGTCGTTGGCGACAGTTTATTGACATCGGGCGATAATTTCGTGAGCTGTTTTTTCACAACGTGCCAATGCGAAAAAGGCAACAAAAATAGAAGAATCTTGAATATTTAAATGAGAGCTGAAATGGACAGCCGATATGCAAAGGTGTGCTCTCAAATTATTCAGAGGATATTTGGAACCAGCTTATAATTACCACAATCCCAATTGAAGAAAGAACTAACTAACCATGAAATTCTTTGACTTTAAAATTTAATATTATTCATTTAAAAACTAGTTGGGATAAATGAAATAGTTTAATAGCTTAATGGTATGCTGAAGAATACGAAACATACAGCATATGGGGTTTTTTGAGGAATTTCCAATGAGAGCTAGTTCGATGGAACTTGCAACTTAATTGCAAAGTTCAATTCGCTAGAACGGGAATTTGATTTGCTATTGTTATTGTTTTGGTTTTTGTTGCTTATACAATATACAATACACAATATACACTACACATTATACGTTACGATTGCAGACTGTTGTCGCCGATGTCTAGGCTTTTGGTATCAACAACAAACCTCCTCCACGCTTCTGGGTCAATAATCTGCGTCTGAGCTACAGCTTCAGCTTCTATATACAGCTATAGATTCGCGATGGCTTGTTGTTGGCGCCCGATTGCCGCAAATGTCAATCAATGAAGATCCAATTTTAGCACAAGTAAACAATATTCGCTCGATCGCCTCTCCTGGCCACCCCCACACCCCCCGTCAGTAGTGGGTGGGGGATCAGTGGCGCCTCCCACTTGCCGCTTATCTCAAGCTTTGGCTAGAGGAAAAAACCAAGAGCCCGCTCTTGTTTTCCCGCCAATCGATATATCGAAAATATCGAGCACCTGTCCCTAACCCCTTACAAATTAGTCATCGATTACATAACAATTTGCAATTCCTTTATAGAGATCTTACAATGTAATCGAATCTTTTAGACTATGATTCACCTGCGGGCTTTTCCAACAACTAATCATCTTTAAAATCGCAAATACAATATATTATTAGACAAGCATTACCTATCGATCCATTCACGCGATCCATCGGTTATCGATCCGATTCGATCTTATACGACTTAAAACGTTGACCCTGACGTGGCATGCCTCCCGTGTGGGTCTTCCCACCTTGGACTCTGCCCCGCATTGCGTATTGCTCATGGCGCCGAGATCAGATCCCGATCCCATCCGATCCGATCCGAACCGATCCCTCGAATCCAATTCATCCGTCGTTCGTCTCTTCCAAAACAACAGATGGCAATCCCACACGGAGAGAAAATACCCACCGAAATGGAATTGTCTTGGGAACTCTTACATATCCCCTATAATTGGTTCCGTTAAATACTTATTAGGGATCGATAATTATCGATATAATTAATTATTATTTATATTCGGTAAAAATTTGGATACTTGGATATTCTTTTTCTCAGTATGTAAGGCTTATCGCACTGGATGACTTGGCACATAGGGCCTCACCTCGCCCCCTCTCTTTCGCTCCGTATTCTTCTCTTTCTCTCTCTCTCTCTCGCTCTATATGTTGTTTTTCCTCAACGGAGAGTCGAGATTAATGCTAAAAATAGGGATCTTTTATTTTGAATCGAAACTAAGTAGATCACGACAAATTCACGTTGCCGTTGTTTACGGCTTTTTCACTGATGGGCGAACACGCCCCACCCCCCAATGCCCAACGCCCACCGCCCACCGTACCGCCCCCCTTTTGGGGGGCTGCCCCATTGGCTTCCGTTCTTGTTCTTGCTCATGCTCTTGTTCTTCATCGACTGCAGTCGAAGTCGCAGTTCCAGCAACAAAAACATCAACAAGCTTATCGCCGAAACATTATCTATAAGCCAAGCCAAGCCCAAGACCCCGTGTATATAGGGTATATCTGGTCGTCTATTGAGTGTTTCCAGAGTTTCCAAGAACGGAGATCCAGATTCAGATCAATTTATATACTTTGTATTTATTTTTTTAAAATAATTACAATTATATCCAATTTCAAACTGTCATGTTACAAACAATTTAACGTGTATTATTATAACAAATTGACAATTCAGTTAACAATAATCAATTGAAGTGCTTGAAATTGGAGCCAAGGGGTTACGGAAATACCATACCCATAATAAAATAGTTTTCGGAGTCTAGATGACTGAACTTTGTCGCTTGGACGAAGCGTTACCGTTAATAAGGAAAATGAAAATCAACAAGTGCATATATAGAGCGTGGATTGGATGCTGCTTTTCCACTGATGGATTCACTCTATTTATTGTTGCTGTGCTTTTTGTTGCTGTGTGCATTTGTCACTCACACACACGCACATGTGAGGTTTGTGTGTACTTTGTTCAAAGGCGATCTTATTAATATGATTATTCCATTGTATGGTTATACAGTATGACTTTCCTAACCCAAACTATCATCTTAATATAGCAGCTTTTGGGTTCTAGTTACATTTCCTTACCAGGCTTTTTAATGTTTTCAAAATATTTCCGATATGACTCAGGTTTGTATGACTAAATTATGCGATAAAGAAAGAGCCCAGATTTGCAAACTCAGCGTCATATGAAAAACCTAAGCCGAAAATGAAGGGGAGAACAGGAAACAGGAAGCAGGTCGACATTGGTGATATAACCATTTCAAATTTAAGATTGTTGGATGGATATGGTAAAAAATGACTTGAAAATAAATCATTCCAACTTAAAGTTTCAACTTCCTGTGACATATCCGAAAAACCCCATAGAATATAATACTAATACTACCAATCCAAGTTCAAGCAATCAATCAATAAATCAATTTATAGTTGCATTTTCCTAGAACCCCCTATAACTTGACCCATAAAAGTTTAGCTTATAGACACTGCCCTGTATTAACGCTCTCAAACACCCACACACCCGCAAACACTCGGCCCCACGGTGACCCAAAGTTGATTGAATGTGTCATGGCCGGCAAATTGTTTAATTTTAAGCATTTGTTTGCGTTTACTGTGTTTCTTTTTTTTTTGTACATTTTTTTTTCTTTTCGCAAGACACTGGACTTTGCTTCCAGTGGCCGCTGCCTCGCTCGCACTTCCACCTGCAGTCCACGTGCTTCGCATTCGCCTGCAGCTCCCCGTCTCGCTCGCACGCGCGTAAAGTGAGGCTTCGTTTTGCGCTGGCGTCGCGGCAACGGTTCTTTTCCAATTTGGCTGTGAAACAACGAAGAACGTTCTTCCGAGCGAGTGCGAAGAATTCGCCAAGAGTGCAATTAAAAGCGTGGAAAGCGGAAGAAAGGGACCTTCTTCCGAGCGTGCGAGAAAAGTTCGTCGAAGAGTGCGAGAGATACGAAAAAGTGTGAAGCCGAAGAAAGGAAGTGCGAAGAGAATTCTTCCGAGCGAATTCTCGCTAATAGTGCAATTAAAAAGGGGTGGAAAGTGGAAGAAAGTGGCGAGAGAGGGACAGAGATAAGGAACCTCCTAATTATAGACCCCACTGATGGGATGGTCTAAAAATAAACAACCACAAACACCAGCAAACAATTAGAGAGAGAGAGAGAGAAAGGGAGCGAGTTAAACAGCTGTTGAGACTCTACGCTCTCCCAAAGAAAGAGACAGAGCGAGCATGGGCGCAGAGTGAGAGGGAAAGAGAGAGGGAGATCGCGGGAGATAGGAATACACGAGATACCGATACTCCCAAGAAAACGAAACGCCAGCTTTACGTTCCAGCATCCCAGCGTCCAGCTTCCAAAAGCGTTTCCAATTCCAAGCCAGTCGCAACGTCAGCGGAATACCGCTACAAAATTCGCATTCAGCCGCCTCACTCTCGCCTTCCTCTGCTTCTCCTACTCCTCCTGCGATATACCCGCACTCTTCTGTTCCTGCCACAATACGTCACGCGATGCAACAACAACTAGTGGGCGCAGCAGCAGCAGAACACGCAGCAGCAGCAGCCGCAACAGCAGTCGCAACAGCAGTCGAAAACGCAGCAGCAGCAGCAGGAGCCAACCACTTGTTCGATTGCCCGCACTCCGATAACAGCCAATCGCGAGCAAAAGGACTATAATCGATCTTCAATCGACAAATCGATTCGTTTTTTTGTTTTTTTTTTGCACGTACAAAAACCCCACAAACCCTAAAAATCTAAAAACTAAACCCACCAAAAAAAAAGGATAATTACCCCTTATTTTTAGTCGTTTTGTTTTGTTTTTTTCGTCAATTGATTGTGATTTTGAAACTGTGTGATCGCAAAAGAAAATCTGCAAATTAGCTAAAAAGAAAGTTCCTTAAGCAAGTGATAATCCGATAGAAACTCTGAAGACAGGAAAAGGAAAGAGAGCACCCTGAGATATATAAACACTATATGCAAAATATACACGCACCATATAAACGCTATATATAAACCACGTATATTAAACCGCAAACATACATATATATCAAGAGCCCCGATCTTGCGATCTTTGTATATCGAGGAATACAAAGGAAACCCATTAAGACCGTCGAAACCCGGAACAAACAGCATGCAAATGTAAGTCTAAATATGAAAACTCAAGATTATTTTGGAAAAGTAGCTCTTAAAAACCGTTTAATCAGTAAAATTTGGGCATCACCTAGAATAATCTACGATTCCTAGAAATATTACAAATTCAAAAGTAAGCTCATTCTAGGTTTCTTATCAGGCTTGTTTTTCAATTTTATAAACAAGACTCTTAAAGAAAAACAATAATAATTGTATTCATTGTATAAGGTATCCCTCAAGATCTTTTATAAAAACAAAGCCCCGCAAGCTTAAAATGTTTGCTGGGAAAGTTAAAGACCCTTCAAGGATGTGAAAAACTGTGGTATAAACAACAGCCCCCTTGAACCAGACTATCACTATCAAATCTACGAAGACAGCCTTAACCTCTTCTCGATTCTTATCAAGATCGGTTCTTCCCAGGGAAACCAAAACAAACTAACTAACCGAAATCAGAAATCCAAAATCCGAAATCAGCCAAGTGGTGTACGAGAGATCCTATAAATAGAATAGATCCCATGTAATATCGCTGTAGAAACGAAAGCGACAGAAGTGGAAAAACATTGAACCACATACTATATATAGAGTGTGGCTGGAAGCCGAGTTTCCAAAGGAGAGTCATAAAATAAAAGCAAACAATAACAAAAACAAAAACAAAAGCCACATGGGGCATATGCCCCCTCCATTTGCCCCACTCCACTCCATTTCAGTCACTCTGGCTTTCTGATTGTGTATAAAAAGAACAGAACTCATGTTCCAAATGATAAGTGGGGAGCCGAGCGAGGCAAAGCGGGCAAATCGGTGGGTTATTTTTAAACACTGAAGTTTATGTAAATATATTTCCTGGCCAGCCCAGACGCAAACAATAACAGAATCACAATCCGAAACCGAATCGAATGGAAAATACAATAATATTTGAGCGCTGATAAGGGAGCCACAACCCAAGCCAAGCCAAGAGGCCCCAGACGCGTGTGGAAGGCGGAAGAGAAGGGGGAGTGGTAGTTATCATGTGTCCGATTCCGAAGAACTGTGTCCTTATTCCAAGTAACTAATTATCACTTGGATGGTGAGCTGAGGTATTTCGTTTTATAATGTCATATTATAATATCCTAAAACAGATAATTGAAACGCCTTAAGATCTGAAGATTTGCTAAGCAGAAGAATTGTCTCCTGAGCACAAGTTACTAATATCAATTCGATCTTATCACAGGATATTCATTTCGAGGAGTAGAAAATGGGAAAATATATGAAATCAGATAAATTAATAAAATAAAGAAGATTTGCTGAATGACAGGCTCTATAAAGCATATCTTAAAGAAAGTATGAAGATTTGCTAAATAAGCTCTATAAGGGATATCTTAAAGAAAGTATGAATCAAGTCTGGATATAAATGAATAAGAGAAAAGGTTTAGGTATAAAATTGTTTAATATTTTACCACAGTTATATCATATATTCTGTACCACTTGTTTCAGATGATTCCCGAAGTGCCGGCGTCCAAAATCCTTGTAGTCCTGGCCACCTTGGTAGCCGTGGTGACGCTGATCAGCAGTTGGGTTCCCCAGGTGGCGGGTAGTCCAGTTGGACCCACGGATTCTGGCAATGAGCAAAGACGAATGCTGTGCTCCAGCCAACTCACTGATGTGATACAGGATATCTGCAAATTCGGAACGATGCCCCACTACACTGCTTATCGTAAGTCGATTTTTGGTTTGAGTTTAAACCATTATTATTATTTAATTTATTTCTATATTTTATCCACAGCTAGTGGGAAGCGCAGGAAGCGAACCGCACAGAATGTTGCCGATCTGTGCTGCAAACCGGGAGGATGCTCCTACATGGATCTTAGAAATTACTGCATACCTGGGGTCGATTAATACACTCCACCACACAAAAACACGCCACCCCACTCTAAACCATCCCACTTCCATCAATTGTAACCCTTAAGATAAAAACGAACAAACAGCAGTCTCCCTTAGAGTACACTAAGTATATGTTACTAATTTAAACCATACATTAACTCAATTCTGTACAATAAAAGAAATTCAAATGAGCGAGAATCAAGCACAAATTGGGTATAGGATCTCTGAAAAATATTTAAATATTTTCAAGCTTGTATTATATCTTCTAATTCTGAATTAGACTGGCAACTATCAAATAACGCCCCGTTGTACCTTTTAGATTTTATTATTTCAATTTCCGCCACCGAATCAGAACACCAATTTCGGGAAACTTTCAAGCAAACACCCCCTTTCATTAGAAGCGTCTATTGTTGGCGTCATAAGCCCACAAAGCGGAATCTATTCAAAGTGACACTCGACAGGATTGTCATGGGTTTGAGTGAGGGTTTTTAAGGTTTAGGTTTTGGGTCATACAATATGCACACACACCACCCTTCGGATGGCCATTGGCCATTGGCCACCCCATTCAAATTGAATGCCGGGCGTAAAACTTTTGAAAGGGACACTCGCAAGCTGGACAGAACTCCGAAGATATGGGGGTCAATTGATGATGATGAGATGACTGCAAATTAGATTACAAACGCTGACGATGATGATTTTAATGATGGTGCAAATCAGCCACACATACGAGTATCCCTCTTAACCCCGATTTACAATCCTCAAATCTCTATGGAAACAACAAGTGCCCTTAAATTTACTCTGGCTCGGGGAAAAATAGATATATCAAATAATTCAAAGTAAAACAAATCCATTTGGCCTAATATAAAAAATACAAATGTTTATTAATGTTTACAATTTCAATTGATTTTAGCTACAAGTGTGCCACGAGTTAATTTACAAATCTGTTTCCTTTTTTTACGTTAAAAATTTTGGAAATTTTCGTAATATAGAAGTAGCTGGGATGATTTAGCACTTATAACCGGCCTTAAAACTATTCGGTTAATCAAGAAGTACGAGTCCCGTGTATAAAATTCCTAATTACAAATGAAATTTTGATTTTGATTTTAGATTTTGATTATGTTTCGGTATTTTGGAAGTCCTTTCAGCGTTTGAGGTAGAACCTGCGGTAGTAGAGGGCTCGACTTATGAAACCATTTTGGGGCCGCGCCGTCATTTCATTTTCGATTTTCGGAATCGATGGATCGCCCAGCTGAAGATCACGTATACCATTTAGGCCAACTCCCTGCGCCTCGGATTTCTTGGGGAATTTATTGGCTTCGGACGGGTTCATTTTGGGCAACGGTGCGGTTAAAGGTTTCCTGGCGGTCTGTATATTTTGGGTTTACTTTATAGTTATCGTATATCGATAGTCGCGAATTCTTAAGTTTCCCGTCACTTATCGTTTCACTCACCTGAATCCAGGACAGGGACCATCTGGCTTTGTCTATGGAGGGAATATTCCAGCGCAGGACTCTTCCCATGTCACGGAGTTGACCGACCCACTGATTTACTTTAGCCTTAGCCATAATAGCAAGTTTCGTAAAAAAAATGTTAACTGAAAAAAAACGAAATGAAAAATTTTAGATATGTAAAATTTTGGTTACAACAAAATTTGTTTTTTTTCCTACCAATATTAGGTGTGTTCGGAATAGAAGCAAAAGTTGGACTGAGCTAGAATCGTCTGGGGCTAGGCTACTAAACTTTGACAGTTGGCTTCGTTCGGTCCATGGACTACTTGTTAGGAGAAATTTAAAAAAATATATTCTCCCTATTTCGGGTTGCTTTGATTTAAATAAAATAAAGGAGGAAATTCAAATCAAAGACATAACTTATTTATCCATATGCGAGAAAATACTTAATATCTTAAGAATTCGCTTTCATCAAAGTAATCTATTGGGAAAGATACTTGATATGTTGGAAAATTATTACCGATACTTGGTAGCAAATTGAAACGGAGTAAAATTCTTCACCCAGTGGACACTCAACGGACACGTGTGGTGGAAAATGTGGGTGGGATGGGTTGGTTGACAACGTCTGGAAAACGAAAGGACAGGAAGTGGAGAGACGGGGAGAGGGAGGCACAAGGAGGGATAAACGACACCAGACAAACTTCGCCGGCTTTGGGTTTGGAGTTCCGGGTTCACCATACAATACCATGCCAAACCAAGCCAAACCATCCCCATTCCCATTCCCATCGCTCGACATTGATGGAGCGAAGCCATGGAACATTAGCTAAATCTTACAGAAAATTTCGCACTACATGGGGAGAAGGGAGGGTGCGGGATACAGGGGCTTTAACCGCCCGGAGAACCCACTCCATCTCCATCCGCCCCTTCACGGGGTTGCAAGGGAAAGCATAGCTCAAAGGGTAGCCATACAGAGAGAGAAAAGTTGTAAAAATAAAGTATTGGTCTAAGTTTAAAACAATATTTATTTACTATCAAAAAATTTTATAGTTTTTACATAAAACTGGAATTTTTCACAAGGGTGACAACCCTACTTTATATTTTATATATGCAATATTACTCTCGCATTTTCTCTCTCTGCAGGGATGCGATGGTTGGAGATGGGCAGTGTCAACAGAAGTCGTATAGGGACACGACTTCAACCCCAGAAGGGAACGGCGAGCGAAAAGTACAGGAAAATCCCAGTCATCCAGGCAAGAGTTGCGAACTTTGCTTTGCTCTGGTCCTGTCCTGTTTATTTTTTGTTTTTCGCTCTTATTTCTGCATTCAGTTCACCCGAAAAAGCCTAAGGAATGTAATGAACCAAAAAGGAAATTCATCTGGGGAGCTTAATGTACCAAAATATCAAACTAAAAGGTGCACAATGGAAATGGCCTGAATAAACAATGAGTAAAAAGCAACATACGGACAAAAAAAATTAGGAAATAAATTATATTAAAGGGAGAAAATAATAATAAATTTAAGAGTTCCTATTAGTGATTATTAAAGGTTCCAAAAGTATACAAAATATTAAACTAAGAGGTACACAATAGAAATGGCTTGAATAAACAATGAGCAAAAAAGCAAACATACGGACAAAAAAGATACGGACAAATTAAATTAAAATTAAATTATACAAATATTCTTATTCCAAACCAAAACCTATCAATTTATTTGGCACATTATTTTCTCGGTTCGAGTTCCCTACTTCTCCCGGGTCATAAAGTCCCAGGGAATGCAGACGATGCCATCGGTGGGTACGGACCAATAGTTGGTGATGTGCAGACTGAGACCTCGGCAGGATGTGACGCCACTTTGGAGCAGATGCCGCAGGGCCACAACCATTTTGTCCGGCGTCACGGAGTCGTCCTTGCTGAGTCGCTGCAGACCGAGTTCCTGCTGGCACTGCCGCCACAACTGCCGCTCCACCTGGATGTCCCGCCGATAGCGACCGGATCGTCCACTGGCCACCTCCAGGTTGCGGCAAATGAACTCCACCAGCTGGGGTCCGGAGCAGGAGGCTGGGGCCAAAAAGATACCCGTCTGGCTGACCTTCGGTGGTGCATCGCTATCGGGCACAATGGCCAGCTGGTGATCCTGCAGCGTGGCGGGCAGCTCCTGGACACTCTCCTCCAGCTTCAGATGCTCGCTGACCGCCCGGATTACCCGGCGCAAGCTGCCCGCATAGGCACGAGCCTCGCATCCGGGTTCCGGCATCCTCCGCCTCTCTATCCGAATGCCCAGGAGAACAGCGGACAGGGCCTTCTCGTACAGCGGCACCAGACGCAGTTGCTCCTCGTGCAGACGCATCTCGGCGAGAAAGGCCAGCCATCCGGTGGCGGAATCGCCCGAAAAGAGCATCACGTCGCCCTCCAAACTGATGCCAGTGTAGGGAGCAAAGACCACATAGCGATTTCGCAGAGTTCCCAGCTGGCCGGTGACCCCTTGATCTTCCGATAGCTCCTGCAGATTCCTCAGGCAATCGTGATAGCGCTCCATATTGCAGCCGCAATCGTAGCGGGTTCCCCGAATGCCTAGTAACTGGACTAGTAGACCCTCCAGTTGCTCGATTTTGGCGCGGAGAGAGGTGACTTCGGAGGTCTGGAAGCGGGCCAGCGCCTGACGCATCCAGGTGTCCAGGGAGTGCTCCTTGTGGGCCTCCTTGAAGAGGGCATCCTTCAGGGCACTAAAGTTCTTCTGCTGGACTGCTGGCGATGACGCCTGGGGCGGTCTTACTTTCTCCCTGACCGGCTTCAATGGCTCCTTTCTCAGCACTTTTCCCAACTCCTTTTCCATCTCCTGTTCTTGTGACTGAAATGGAAAATAATTAAAAAATAACTTATTATAGCTGGTGTTTCGAAATCACTTGTAAAAGTGTCTTAAAGTAGGCAAATCCCTTCAAAACATCGATATTATCGAATCGATATTGTCAAAATAAGTGATTTCAAATACTACTTCACCTGACTATGTTCCTTCTCCTTCGGCAGCAGCTTACAGGATCTCAGGATATTCCTTATCACCGCCCTGGGATCCAGCAGACTCCGGTCCACCTGCACCCGGACCAAACGACTAACCACCTGGCCACCAGCCGCATCCGAACTGGAGGGCATGTAGAACTCCAGCTGACCGTCGGCCGGAAGACAACTTCCGGGCGTCGGCGCTCCGGTCAGCGACTCCAGATGGGAGCTAAGCAGACGCAGTGACTCCTCGTTGACCCGCTGCTCGGCGGGATTGGCCGGCAGGCGATCCGTTTGAATGGCCTGGTAAAACGGACGCAGAGCCGAGACCAAATCCGTGCTCAACAGACGTCGACAATAGTCGATAATCCGCCGGCGACCCAAGAAGTTGCGCAGTGTGGCCATCTTTAGTGCTGCCAGATCGGTTGAATTTTGAATATAGAAAAATTGTAATATTCCCAGTTGATGCTGGCAAATTTTGCAATGACTGCCTGACTGCCGAAAAGATTCTGTAATAAAAAATTGGAAAGTTCATTTATATTTTACAACTTGTAAATAAATTAAGCAAAAAGTAAACCTTACCCCTTTATTGTATTTCCAAATCGATGTTGTTTTTTAATAAAACATGAACTGTAGTTGCCCGCGAGTGTTAAAAAATAGCCAAACTGTTGCCCCCAAAATAAGAAAAGGAATATTGAGGCAATCCCAGAGGCCACATAAAATAATACCCCCTTCACCGCCACTCGAAAAGCATTGACTTCACCAGGGAAGCAAATAAAACTTTAGCACACAAAACACGCACATAAAAAACCGTCGCCCGTTAACCCTATAAAGCTGGTACTTGTTAAGCCCAGAGATATTCCTTTTGTCATGCATGATGCCATGTTACTGAAGGGTGTAAGGATTGGCATTTCTAAAGCCCTGGATAAAGTATAACACATATCTTTATTTTTTTAAAATAATTTAAAGGTCTCTTTATTTAAACTTTGTTTGTCGGCCGAGCACAGGTAGATTTGTAATAAAATCCTAATATTTCCTTTTTTGTTTGGTTTAAAACCAATCGGCAACCGGGGGTTAATAATCAACGTCAAACATAAAGAGAAAAACGTGTTTGCACACTGAAGTAAAATAAGACATTTAACACACCAGTGTGCGAAACTCTTCGCAGGAGAGCAAAGAGAAAGACGCAGGCAATTTCCCTTTGCCGGTGAGCGGCAGTGAGAGCTCAAACATTCTAAGTGAAAATAGAGAAAAAAAGTTTGACACTTCCGTAAATTTCGTTTTAGTTCGTTTCGCTCATTCTTCTCGCGACGACGAGGAGAACTCAACAGGCACGGCGTGTTTTATTCACTTGTGAATTTGTGGAATACTAAGGCACATGGGCAGGCCGAGACTCGTGGACACGACCAATCTGGTGGTGGTGCTACCAAATCGGACCTGTCGTTGTGTCGTCTGCGACAAGATATTGGCCGGACTGCAGAGGAGCAACATCAAGCGGCACTACGACCGCCTCCATCCCAATATCGTCCTCCAGCGACCGCCACGCCCCCCTCAGCAGCCGAAGCCCCAGAAGCCCCCGAGCGAGGCCTTAAGTAAGTATCCCCTATAAAAGTTAAAAGCATTTTTTCTACCTTTAAATAACTTGAACTTCGTGTTGGAAAGGCAAGGAAAAAAATTATATAACACTATCATGATTTTTTTTTTGTGATATATCACAATATAAACCAGCGGTCGGCACACACATACGTTGACATTTTGTTTTATATTTGTGTGAGTAATTTGCACTGGGCAGCTCATCGATGTGTGTGTGCAGACCGCTGTTCTACGTTATAGGTGTGCGAGCTGCGCGCCGGCAGAACAAAACCCTATGCTCACTTAATAGGGCGCTGCCGACCGCTGATATAAACCAAGTTGAATTCTCTAAAGGTTATAAATTATATTTGACTGGAAGTCTGTAACAAATATTTAGTTCCTGGTTACGATTTTGGGTCACGTACATAAAACATCGACGGATACTTTGGGTTGCGGTGAAATGCCGTTAACTAAAATCAATTAACAAAGACTAATTTTTGGGTACAACTTGCCTATTGAGTTGTACAGTAGTACTTCTACTACATCAACTTTTGAGTTTGATAAAAAAAGGTAGAGTTTTTTGTTTTAAATATTTTTTTAAGATTATGAAGTTTTAGTGACCAAGTGACATGCAATTCTTTATAGAGACAGATCAAAATTGTAATAACCTTTTAGACATGCTCGACTGTAGCTAAAACAGCAGTAGTAGTAGTAGTAGTAGTAGTGGTAGAGGCCAACAGACCGCCACTCAAAGCGCAAATAACAAGGGTAAAATATTGCATCTCCGGCAGCTGCGAACACGCATTCGGCACCCCTCTCTTTCTATCGCACTGAGCCCGTCTCTCTCTGCCATCGCACTGCAGTTGAAAATTACTTTTTGCATGTGTTTTTCCGTTTCTTTCTGTTTGTGTTTTTTCCATTTTGTTTGCTGCCCCGTTTCCATCGCTTGCCTTTTCACACATGCCACTTATTAACCCCAGAGTGGCGATGAGTACAGAAAATATTTATTTAAAATATAAAAATGTGCCACTACTTGTTATTCATTATTCAGCGACCGACCCTTCTCGGTCTACAAATTGATCTATTGATTTCGAATTCGAGGATTCTGGTTAAATTCTACATTGATTTGCATTTAACGGGGATTGGTGACCCCGACTTATCAAATATCATGATCAATTTGACATTCACTGATTTAATTGGTGTTTACATTTATCCTATCCTTACATAATGTAATCTTGATAATGGAAATGACATTTCTTCGTTTCGCTTTTCTTTTTTTACGATTATATATTTAAGGAAAATGTTATAAAAACCATAATACCATTTAAAACCGCATAAATTCGCCCTTTTAGATACCAAAATGGGTCGTCCCCAGATGGTGGACACCGACAAATTGTGTGAGGTCCTCCCCGACGGAAAGAGATGCCGTTGCAAGCTTTGCGAGAAGGTGTTAACCCATCGGCCGGGAAATGTGAGGCGCCACTATAATACTTACCACCCACACATCATCGTCCAGCTGGCGCCCAAACGTTGGGTCATCGCCGAGGACAAGCTCATTCCCAATAGCCAAAGACTGAACAATCCGGTAAGTAGTGTACATACAAACATATATATTTCACGGTTTATTAGCACTAACCGAAACGTCACTAATCAAAACCAAAACGAACCCCAAAAGGGGGAGCCGCACTTTAGATATTGCATTTTACTTTATCCAAATGAACCGTGCTGCCTACACACGAAATACCCAAATTAAATTAAACGAATTCAGATCAACGCTTATATTAATTAAAGTGGATTGAGCGGAATTAGCTGCATTTACATTTACATACCATCGTTCTGGATTGTTTTTATATCCGTTTATGCGCACTTCCCTTTGGCAAATATAAAATTTATTAAAGGTGTTTTTTACTTATTATTAAATTTATGAGAATAAATTTTAGGAATGCTGAAATGAGTAAACAAAAATAGGTATACGAAATCATGAAATTCCGACGCATAAACGTACTAACTTGAAATGACCCTGATGTTTTGAACCGCAAATGAAACGTAAAAACCGAAACCGTTTCAGACCGGTTCAGCTCAGCGTGTCAAAGTGTGTGACTGTGAAACCGCTTTCTGTAGTGGTTCGTGTTCTTGTTCCGCTCTCTGAACCGCTCCTCTCTGAACCGCTCCTCTCTGAACCACTCTCTGGCTGCATGCGAATTTTATTTAGTAATCGAGCGAAAGTCAAGTACGGTGCATCGCAGAAAAAAAAGGGGAAAAAACGCTGATAATTGTAAATCGCGAACCGTAAAAAATGCCGAAAAGAAACCCGAACCCGGTGTCCAAGCACTTTGTCTTTAGCGAAGAGACCCGGAAGAGCACCTGCAAGAAGTGCCGCTACGATATGGCCGGTCGTCACTCGGAGAATCTGCTGAGACACCTGAAACGCAAGCATGAGGATCTCTACAAGGAAGTGGTAGCCGAGAAACGGGTAATCCGGCAGGCAATTGCGGTCAGGACAAACCGTAGCCTGGCCAACATATTCAAGTTTCCATCGGAACCCAAAAAGATTCGCCTTTCTAAGGTACACACAACCAGAGTTGTCACCTTGTTCCACTAAGATTTATTTAAAACTTTTAACACATTCTTAAGATGACCCATAGGATAGGATAATAGCATAAAATAAACTGATACACCAGACTAATAACTATTTACTTTCTTCCATTTTTAAGATATGCACACATAAATATAATTGTTGAAAACCAGAGTTGTCACCTTATTTCACTAAGATTTATTTCTAACGTTCAACACATTCTTAAGATGACATACAAGAACTAAGTATTTAATTAATAAGTATTTAATTTCTTCCAGGATGCCTCTCAGCTGCCCACCAATAGTACCACTAATAGTACCACCATGGAAACCACCGTCATGGTGGATAATGAAGAGGCTGGCGACGGAGATTACGAGGACAACGCTTCTGGTAGCCAATTCGACATCTTCATAGGGAAATCGGAGCTGCCTGATGAGGATGACAATCAAACGGAAGAATCTGACACCGCAGTGGAGCTATTGCCCATAACCGAGGCTAAACCTGGGGAAAACGAACCGGATCTAGTGCCCATATCAGTTCCTAAACCTGGGGAAAACGAACCGGAGCTAGTGGCTAAACCTTCGACATCCTTGAAGGCGTCCTCCAGTTCTGGTGCGAATGTTCGTGCATCCACCTCGGATTGCCCACTCGTCGCCGGTGATAATGCTATCTATCTGCAGTATCTGGGCAACAAGTTTGGCAAATACTCCAAACGAACCATGAACACTGTTCAGTTCCATATAAATCGCATTCTTTATATGGCCGATATGGGACACTTTGAGGAGAAGGAAGGAAATCCCACTGGCGAATCCGATTCTAATTGACCATCGCCTTGGTCTGTGTTATTATTACCGTTACTCGTATCCTAGGGTATATTGTATTCATGTCTGTCTGTCCGTTTTAGAACGCTGAGATCTCGGAAACTATGAAAGCCAGAAATTTGGGATTAACCATGCAGATTCTTGGGGTTCCTACGAAGCGCAAGTTTGTTTCCTCTTACGCCCACAATTGCCATAACCGATTTTTTAGCTGACTAATGGGTATCGAGGTACTCGATAATACCGTTAATTCTCTTTGACACGAGTTGTTAAAGACCTAAAACCGATTTTAAGGGCTGTAAGCTAAATTAAGGAAAGGCTAGAAGATTAAGTAACACCTAGGTTTTTTAAATAAAAGATTATATGATTTAGTATTGATTGTTGTTTTATTCTTGTTTCTACTTCCTTGACGCGTATCCCGTTATTAGTTAATCCTTTTTTGCCTTGGACTCGAAATTCCAGGGGGGATATTTATTACCTGCCAAAACAAAAAGCATTAAAATGTCCACAAATCAGGTCACTTAGCCCCTTGAGTTTCCCCACTTGCACATCGGGAACATTCCGGCAAATCAGATCGTTGGCCCCTCATTTTGTTGTTGTTTGTTTTTCCTGTTGTTTTTGGGATAAGAAGTCAGTCAGTCGGTGGGGGGTTGGGGGTTTTGGGGCAAGTTCAGTACCCGCACAGGGTCAACATCTTTGGGATCCCTCGTGCTGGGAGGGTAAAAAGTGCGTAGAGTTGGGATTTTCGCTTTCCACTCTTGTGGAAAGTTTCGTTTTTCGTTTCGCCACTCATTTTCCCCGAGAGCCAGATATTCCTACATATATACGACATATTTATGTTTGTGCTCTTTAAAGCGACGGAAAGAGCAGCAAAAACTCTTCGCCGTCTGTCTGTATAAAGTATCTGTATCTGTATCTGTGTGCCGGCTGACCGGCTTTGTTTGTATCTCTATCTCTCTTCCTGCAGAAACTTGGAAACGAAACCTGCAACGTCTGTTCAGTTCAGTTCAGTTCTGTTATGTTCCGAGGCCCCTCCTTTCGCCACAGACCCTTCATCCGTCTGTGTCGTTTGGTCCCTGCTCATAGCTCATATAGGGGCGCCCTGTGTACTTGTAATCCTCCCCAACTCCACCTCTCGATTATATATCGCTTCAACCCCCACCCGAACCGCATAGGATGTTCGATTTATGTGTAGGCTAGCGTCCCTTTGGCGTGTTATTAAAGGTTCATTACTAAATACCAACGAACTTTTGTAATTCACTGAACCATCTGCCACTGGTGGGGGAAATATGTTGATGGGAAAGGAATAAAAAACCTGGATTTCTTGTAAATAACTTTAAAACGTGCATCCGAAATGCCTGATAATCAGCTTAATTTGCTCTTTAGCCAGAAAACAATTAATTTCTATTAAATATTAACCTTCTGCAAGTGCTTCACTCGACTAAAAGGAAAACGAAGCCCCCGAAAGTTATGAAGAAATTTTCTGTGAGCAAAGTTACAAGTTTGTGTCATGGGGATGAAATTGTGTGAAGTTCGGTCGCTAAACTCTAATGCCACTCAATTATGTTTAAGTTACTTGAGATTTGAGTTAGGGGAAGTGCGAGACAACAAAAAAAGAAAGCAAGAGGGAATACCAGTGGCGGATGGTGATTTTTTTTTACCTGAGTGGGTGGTGATACATCATCCATATTACCCCCCGTTGATCCACGCATCATAATTTTTTGCGAAAAATAGCCAAAAAATTAAGTTAGGAAATTTAATAACGAGTTCAGAAAGGTATGACAATCCATATTTGGATCAGTATTTCCGTTGTTACGGTCTAAAAACTAATTATTTTTGTGTAAAAAATTGGGATCTGGGTTTTTGGTAAAAATATGAATTTTTTCTTTTGGTTTTTTTGCTGTAACTTGGCCAAAAATGGTCCTACACAAAAAATACATACTGTTTTGAACAGATAAAAAAATAATAATTAAATCCATAAAACTTTCCGTGTGATTTTGGAAAAATAAAATTTTCGCCAATATTCCATTTTTTTTATAAGGGGGTACATCAGGATTTTTTGAAAAAAATGGCCAAAAAATAAAATATCCAGGTTTAAATGCCAATCGATTGGAAATTTAATAACGAGTTCAGAAAGGTATGACATTCCATATTTGGATCAATATTTCCGTTGTGTCGGCCAAAAACCTTTTTTTTTTTGTAAATATATGAATTTATTCTTTTTTTTTTTTCCTTTATTCCCGGAACACCTTAAAGGTAAGAGAGACGAAAAGGAGGACCTGCTTTTTTCCTATCCCTGAATAATCTTCTCTTTCTAAATACTTTTCCTTAAATGTAGATAAAATAGCATCCTTTGATTAGCGTTGGGAATTCCGTTCCGGAATTAATTACATCTCGACCAGATCTTCTTTTTCAATTGAAATGTGTGTTTGCCACATGTGGGCGTGTCACCGATAAGGCGTTCGTTTTCAGGACCCCGGGGAAAAGTTGAGGTTTCATCGGATGAATGATGTTGCCTGCCTGTATGGCTATAAGATAAGAAAATGGCAAAGGAAATGGAAGCTGAGCCCGAAGGGACCAAGGAATCGGTATGGTCAGCCATATTGTGTGGAAAAAACGTGGGAATGCGGAGAATAAAGCTTCATTTTTCACAAACCTCCAATTGGTAGTGTCACATTTGTGGTTTATAGGAAAAGTACTGACTTAAAAACCCCGATGTGTTCCTAAAGAGTCCACTAAATATAAAAACACCCAGGGAAAATAATTAGAGGACTCTTGTCTTTTGTAACCTTTTGTTTTTTCACCCCACCAGCGAAATAGAGTGAGCAAGCAAACACCCCCGCCAAATTTCAAGTTCCAAATACCGAATATCCTCATCCTCGGGAGATGTGGGATGTGTTCCTCCAACCGCCAGACGGATAAGTAAACAAATTCAGCTTTATCTTCAATGGGAAACAAGGAAAACAGAGTTCTCCCGTTGAGGTTCGCCTTTGATATTTAACAATCTTTGAACAGCTGAAAGATGAGAACAAAAACACCAACCTCGCAATAGATACACACACGTGTGTGTGTGTATGTGTGTATGTAATGTTTGCAGACAAAGGCCAACAACAAGTTGCCATGGGAGTTGCCACCAAAATCTTTCCTTCGCACTCCAAGGGCAGCGAGAGCAACAACAACATCAAGAAGCGCAACAAGAAGCCAAGGAATAGCTATAAAACCAACAACAGTAACGGGTGTAGTGTACCAAGAGCAGATGAAGTACAGTGAAGACTGTTCTAAAGGGTATTCTTGAAAAAAAAGATTAAACCGATAAGAACAACGCAGATTAATCAAAATGAATGTAGTAAGCATTAATAGTAAGGATTTTTACTTCAGTTCTTATAAAAAAGTTGCCAAAAAACTTATTTTGATCACCTGCATAGAAATTATACCATCATATCATTATCATAAGATTTATTTATTGCAAATCAACATATTTCACCTTAGTACTTATAAACAGGATATCAAAGTACTTATTTTGAACTTATGATATAAGAATTATACCATTCATATCATTATCATAAGATTTCTTCGTTGCAAATTAATACATTTCTAACCTATTTATACTTATCATTACAGTCAATATAATCCAAATAAGTATGGTAAGGATCTTCACTTTAATTTTAATAAATAGGATTTCCAAGAACTTATTTTGAACTTCTGGTATAAGAACTACTCCCTACGATCATATAATTTCTTCGTTGAAAATCAATACATTTATAACCTATCACTCTATAAGCAATCTTCACCGTACTTTAGCCCAAAGGAGATAACGTTTAACAAGAACACCAGCAGAATGGAAGGCAAAGAGCAAGTAGAAGGAGCAACAGGGAGAAAAAGCCAAAAAGAAACGAAATATATATGAAACAGTAACGTCCTCGAGGAGAAGAGCTCACATATGCGACCAGGCTAATCCCAATAATCTTATAGTTTTCACGAAGATAACAAGATATAGCATTTCGCCATGTCTCCTGTCTTTCTCCTTTATCGCGCTGATTGATTCCATGAAATGGAGGGGAAGGGGGGGATACTCCAGAGTTATGCAAACTAGGCACAAAATACGAAACATATGAGGGGGTTGGAAAATCGGGATTGACATTTCGCCCGCTGCTTCCATGTAATTCGCTTTACTTTTTCCCCTTTTCGGCTGTTTTCCATTTTTTTCCTTTTTTTTTTTTGGTAAATAAAATAGATGAAAATCAATTTGACGTGTCTTGAATTCTGTTTTAGGTTTAAAGAACTCGTTTTACAAAAGATAAAAAGGCGAGCAGGGAAGAAAAAGGAACGAGGGGGGTGGGAGGGCACAAATGGAAATAAACTCGAATTGTGTACACGCAAGGCAAAAAGGGAGGGGACGGGGGAATGCACGGAGAGAAATATTTGAATTTTTAGTTTTAGGAGGGTTCCTCTAGGTCCCAAGTCAAAGAATTTCAACCCCCAAAAATAGTGATAACTTCGTATCCTTCCTCTTCGGAAATCTTTGAATTAAAGGATTTTTTTAAAGGCTCTCAGATTTTTCTACCAGTGTAGGTGTGGAGAACCGACCGATACAAATGTGAAGTGTGGAGAGCAGAAAAAAAAAGAAGAAATACAGAACGTGGGGGAAACCTACATAATTCTCTTGTAAAACAAACAAAACGCCACAGAATGTGGAATACGGGGAGAACTTATCGAATTTGTCGCTCCCATCATCATTTAAGGGTGGCAATAATTACATCAATCTTTTTACCATTTCAATTTGAAAACAAATCGAGCCACTCGAACTTAACAACAACAACAACCGAGGACGACCCCCCAGGGGAAAAACAGAACAAAAAGAGAGAAGAAAGAAAATAAACGAAAAAAAGAAAAGAAAAGAAAAGCCAACTGAAGCGAACGGAACGAGCAAAGAAATGAGGCGAGAACTGCAGGAAGGTCCCGTGGAAGTGAAATAAATACACACATTTAAGATGGATTTGTCGGATTCAATTTGAGTCTACAAACAATGACACATGCATTCAGAATATCTAGATCATGAAATTAGCATACGCTAG